TTAGTTCTCGGAACCTCGTAGATAGTACTATCATTTATATCTACTCATTAGTTCTCGGAACCTCGTAGATAGTACTATCATTTATATATACTCATTAGTTCTCGGAACCTCGTAGATAGTACCATCATTTATATCTACTCATTAGTTCTCGGAACCTCGTAGATAGTACTATCATTTATATCTACTATTTAGTTCTCGGAACCTCGTAGATAGTACCATCATTTATATCTACTCATTAGTTCTCGGAACCTCGTAGATAGGACTTGATAACTTGCTCTCTCCAATGGGTTAACAAACACATTTGGTTGAATGTCCTAACAAAAAAATGTATTTCAAACTCATCATCTAATATCGATTGTGATAAACAAATTGATAACATAAAATGACAGACAATCATAAGTTTACCTGGGATCTGCCACAACCTTGTCCAGGTCCTCCGGTGTGGTTATCTTAGCTTCATCAACTAAGCGGTATTTCCTCACAAGTTCCGCCATTTTCTCATGATTCTCTTTGACATCCACCAGCCATCGGATCCGAAAGTCGGATATCTGTACGAGGTTCTTCAGGTGGATCTGTCCAATCCTGCCTACCCCGACTAGGGCCGCTCCCACCTCCGATGTAGTGGCCATCTGTAACACAGCAGTGATGTTTGTACTCTCATACGACACTTGTACAGCCTCGAGGAGGCACAGCTCGCTCTAATGAACAAAGCACTACTGATAGTACAGTAATATATGCTACGCTTTATAAACAAATAATGAATATTATTTCAATAATTGATTTACAATTGCGATAATAATATTGCTCAAATTATTAATACATCAAATCCATAAACTTGAATTAGGTACATACGGCTAATAATGATTTAAAACATTTTTTTCTAGAATTACTCTAAGGTGAGTTACTGTATATAAACAGTCGGTCAAGGTTCCGGACGGCAAACGCTACATTGTTCTCTGTTTTACTTTCTTACAAAGGTTCCGTCACGTAAATCTGCAAATACTGACCACTTAATTATGTATACACGTTATATTTCAGTTAAACACTGGGTTGATAGGTTATTTTCACATTCACCTGACAAGTATTCAGCTGTAAGTCCACAGTCATTGAGAGTCAGTTTGGAATTAGACAAACCGTTTGCTTGCGTGTAGCGGACCCAGTAACTGTGGCGTTCCGTTTGCTTGCTTGTAGCGGACCCATTAACTGTGACGTTCCGTTTGCTTGGGTGTAGCGGACCCAGTAACTGTGACGTTCCGTTTGCTTGCGTGTAGCGGACCCAGTAACTGTGACGTTCCGTTTGCTTTTTAATACACGCATTCTCTATGTGTACTACATATACCCGGTGTGTCATTTAGGAACCCAACAATGCATAGCGATATTCACCTTTGATAATGATGATGAAATGTCATTTATACAGTGATTTATCTGATTTACCATCACGTATACACTACTTCATACACGCAGTTACTGGTCACAGGTTGTACTATGGTACGTGTATAATCGATATGATTTACATATGTACCAGTGGCCGATTACAGAAATCCAAATGTGAAAAATTATATAGATTATTTCGATGATTTTCAGCTCTGAAACAAACGCGTGACAGGTAACGTTTATTCTAGTCAGAAATTGGTCCCTTCCCCTAATTGACGAAGATACACCGGCTCCAGTAGATAGTCGATATTTAAACAAACAACTTCCAGACAGACAGACATCTAGGGATGGTAGACATTAAATCATACAAATTCCATCCATCCAGACACCTAGGGATGGTAGGCATTAAATTATACAACTTCCATCAAGACAGACACCTAGGGATGGTCGACATTAAATTATACGACCTCATTCCAGACAAACAACTAGGAAGGGTAGACATCAAATTATACAACTTTCATCCAGACAGACACCTAGGGATGGTAGACATTAAATTATATGACCTCATTCCAGACAGACACCTCGGGATGGTAGACATTAAATTATACGACCTCACTCCAGACATACACCTAGGGATAGTAGACATTATACTTATAATTCACAAATATAACCGACGTTCTGAATCACGTTCGTCATACTTATAATTCACAAGTATAACCGACGTCCTGAATTATGTACGTCATACTTATAGTTCATAAATATAATCAACGACCTGAATCACGTACGTCATACTTATAATTCACAAGTATAACTGACGTCCTGAATCACGTACGTCATACTTATGATTCACAAGTAGAAACCGACGTTCTTGACGTTCCGTTTGATTCCTTATAGTTCATAAATATAATCAACGACTGAATCACGTTCGTCATACTTATAATTCACAAGTATAACCGACGTTCTTAATCACGTACCACATACTTATAATTCACAATTATAACCGACATCGTAAATCATGTACGTCATACTTATAATTCACATATATAACCGACGTCCGGAATCACGTTCTTCATACTTATAATTCACAAGTATATACTGACAATTCACAAGTATAACCGACGTTCTGAATAACGTACGTCATACTTATAATTCACAAGTATAACCAACGTTCTGAATCACGTACGTCATACTTATAATTCACAAATATAACCGACGCCCTGAATCACGTACGTCATACTTATAATTTACAAGTATAACCAACGTTCTGAATCACGTACGTCATACTTATAATTCACAAATATAACCGACGCCCTGAATCACGTACGTCATACTTATTCTCAAGTATAACCGATGCCCTGAATCACGTACATCATACTTATAATTCACAAGTATAACCAACATTCTGAATCACGTTCGTCATACTTATAATTCCCAAGTATACAAGTATAACCAACGCCTTGAATCACGTACGTCATACTTATAACTCACAAGTATAACCGACGCCATGAATCACATACGTCATACTTATAATTCACAAGTATAACCAACATTCTGAATCACGTTCGTCATACTTATAATTCCCAAGTATACAAGTATAACCAACGCCTTGAATCACGTACGTCATACTTATAACTCACAAGTATAACCGACGCCATGAATCACATACGTTATACTTATAATTCACAAGTATAACCGACGCCCTGAATCACGTACTTCATACTTATAATTCACAAGTATAACCGACGCCCTGAATCACGTACGTCATACTTATAACTCACAAGTATAACCGACGCCATGAATCACATACGTTATACTTATAATTCACAAGTATAACCGACGCCCTGAATCACGTACTTCATACTTATAATTCACAAGTAAACCCGACATTCTAAATCACATACGTCATACTTATAAAACACAAGTATATACTTACAACTCACTAGTATAACCGACGTTCTGAATCAAGTACGTCATACATATAATTCACAAGTAACCGACGTTCTGAGTCTCGAACGTCATACTTATAATTCACAAGTATATACTTACAATTCACAAGTATAACCGACGTTGTGAATAACGTACGTCATACTTATAATTCTCAAGTATAACCGATGCCCTGAATCACGTACATCATACTTATAATTCACAAGTATAACCAACGTTCTGAATCACGTACGTCATACTTATAATTCACAAGTAATCACGATATTCTAAATCAGGTACGTCATACTTATAATTTACAAGAATAACCGACGCCCTGAATCACGTACGTCATACTTATTCTCAAGTATAACCGATGCCCTGAATCACGTACATCATACTTATAATTCACAAGTATAACCAGCGTTCTGAAGCACGTTCGTCATACTTATAATTCCCAAGTATAACCGACGCCCTGAGACACGTAAGTCATACTTACAACTCACAAGTATAACTGACGTTCTGATTCACGTACGTCATACTTATAATTCACAAGTAAACACGATATTCTAAATCAGGTACGTCATACTTATAATTCACAAGAATAACCGACGCCCTGAATCACGTACGTCAAACTTACAACTCACAAGTATAACTGACGTTCTGAATCACATACGTCATACTTATAGTTCACAAGTATAACCGACGCCCTGATTCACGTATGTCATACTTATAATTCATAAGTATAACCGACGCCCTGAATCACGTACGTCATACATATAATTCACAAGTATAACTGATGTTCTGAATCACGTACGTCATACTTATAATTCACAAGTATAACCGACACTCTGAATCACATACGTCATACTTATAAAACACAATTATATACTTACAATTCACAAGTATAACCGACGTTGTGAATAACGTACGTCATACTTATAATTCTCAAGTATAACCGAAGTCCTGAATCATGTTCGTCATACTTATAATTCACAAGTATAACCGACACTCTGAATCACATACGTCATACTTATAAAACACAATTATATACTTACAATTCACAAGTATAACCGACGTTGTGAATAACGTACGTCATACTTATAATTCTCAAGTATAACCGAAGTCCTGAATCATGTTCGTCATACTTATAATTCACAAGTATAACCGACGTTCTGAATCACGTACTTCATACTTATAATTCACAAGTAAACCCGACATTCTAAATCACGTACGTCATACTTATAATTCACAAGAATAACCGACGCCCTGAATCACGTACGTCATACTCACAACTCACAAGTATAGCTGACGTTCTGAATCACATACGTATACTTACAACTCACAAGTATAACCGACATTCTTAATCACATACGTCATACTTATAATTCACAAGTATAACCAACGTTCTGAATCACGTTCGTCATACTTATAATTCCCAAGTATAACCGACGACCTGAGTCACGTAAGTCATACTTACAACTCACAAGTATAACCGACGCCATGAATCACATACGTCATACTTATAATTCCCAAGTATAACCGACGCCCTAAGTCACGTAAGTCATACTTACAACTCACAAGTATAACCGACATTCTTAATCACATACGTCATACTTATAATTCACAAGTATAACCGACGTTCTGAATCACGTACTTCATACTTATAATTCACAAGTAAACCCGACATTCTAAATCACGTACGTCATACTTATAATTCACAAGAATAACCGACGCCCTGAATCACGTACGTCATACTTATAATTCACAAGAATAACCGACGCCCTGAATCACGTACGTCATACTCACAACTCACAAGTATAGCTGACGTTCTGAATCACATACGTCATACTTATAGTTCACAAGTATAACCGACGCCCTGATTCACGTATGCCATACTTATAATTCATAAGTATAACCGACGCCCTGAATCACGTACGTCATACTCACAACTCACAAGTATAACTGACGTTCTGAATCACATACGTCATACTTATAGTTCACAAGTATAACCGACGACCTGATTCACGTATGTCATACTTATAATTCACAAGTATAACCGACGTTCTGAATCACGTACTTCATACTTATAATTCACAAGTAAACCCGACATTCTAAATCACGTACGTCATACTTATAATTCACAAGAATAACCGACGCCCTGAATCACGTACGTCAAACTTACAACTCACAAGTATAACTGACGTTCTGATTCACGTACGTCATACTTATAATTCACAAGTATAACCAACGTTCTGAATCACGTTCGTCATACTTATAATTCACAAGTATAACCGACGTTCTGAATCACGTACTTCATACTTATAATTCACAA